TTCCCTTACCCAGGGCCCGGAAAGAAAGATACTTTGAATTTCCCTTGCTAGAACGGTACTTGGCATGCAAGCAGCGCTCACATTCACTAGTGGCCGTCTATCTCCTAAGGAACTCCCTCTTGCTCCTCTTCACCTCAGCCACTTATCTGTATCTTGGTCATTTTCATTTGGATATCTTCTTCCAAAAAGAATTCAGCTGTTCCATCAAGACAGAACTGCTACAGGATGAGACACATGTTCCGGATCTGATCACATGCAGGTTGACCTCCCTATCCATTTTCCAGATTGTTAGCCTCTCTAGTGCAGTAGTATACACTCTATTGGTTCCATTAATAATATACAACCTCACACGGCTATGTACGTGGGACAAACGACTCCTATCCATCTATGAGATGCTCCCAGCTTTTGATCTTCTCAGTAGGAAGATGCTAGGATGCCCTATCAATGACCTCAATGTGATCCTTCTTTTCCTCCGAGCTAATATCTCTGAGCTCATTTCTTTTAGCTGGTTGAGTGTCTTATGTGTATTGAAGGACACAACCACCCAGAAGCATAACATTGACACTGTAGTTGATTTTATGACTTTATTGGCTGGCTTAGAACCTTCCAAACCTAAACATCTCACCCAACGAGTATGTGATGAACACTTATAGTTAAGGGGGAAAAAAATCTCTGTATTGAGAACTTTTGTGAAAATTAAGTCTCTTACCTTCTTTGCAAGTCACACAGAATACACATGCATGCACACACACACACACACACACACACACAAATTCACTTTAGAAATGCTAAGCTTGGATACACTTAAGTTAGCTTGTATATCAAAATAAGGAGCTAAATATAAAACTTAAAACTGAAGAGTCAAAGAACTGAAAGGATATGTCTGCAGCATCTATGAATATAAACATAAATGAAAGTCCAGATATTCTGCAAGTAAAGAAGACTCTAAAGGCTACTATGGAAGCAAGTTCTCACTATATTCACTCCATGGTCCCTATCTGATCCATATCTGGCTTATTCCAAAGCACAAGTAGACAAATCTAGTAAGAGATTAATAAAGATATAAAACCCTTGGAAACTCTTCGTGTGGCCTCCAATCCTAAAACCTGTTTTGTGGAAATATCCTTACTAGGCTCACTGAAGCCTGCCAAGTCAGGAGATAATGATGGTTTTAATTTGTAATCTGCTCTTGGGGTTTAAGGACACAGGCAGGGTACTATACACCCATTAGTTAAATTTTTTGGTGCCCCAATAAAAAAAAAGAACCTAGGGGAAGGGAGGGAGGGAGGGGATGGTAGGGGGAAAACAATGGAGGGGGTAACAATGTTCAAGAGGAAGTGTACTCATTACCTCACTCATGTAACTGTAACCCTCTGTATAGTATCTTTACAATAAAAAAAAATTTTTTTTTAAATTTTTTGGTGCCCAACACTTTTAATCATATAAAACAAGGCTGCATCTTACCAAGGACTAGGGTTATAAGCTGAGAACTCCTTTGCAATGCTTAATGGCCCCAAGTATGCTTTTGATACTTTAGAGGATATTATATCTTCATCTACAGCTAATTATTGAAACACAACTACTAAGATCTAAATAAAGTGGATGGGAAAGTGCTACTAAGCTCCCCTCCCCCTTTTTTCTGGTTCATTACTCAGTTCTTACATCTAACTTCCAATTTTATGTCTGAATTTAATGCCTTAAGTATGTTTGTGGAGTCTTGATCTGACTGCAAAAACTACCACAATACCATGCTGCCTCTCACTGTGTATTTCTTTTTAAAGCCAGACATTATGCATGTCTTTTTTTCCTGCAGTATTGAGGGATTGTATCCAGAGCCTTGAGCTTGCTTGGCAAGCACTCTACCATTTGAGCTACACTCCCAGCCATAATACATACTTGTTGAGAGAAGTACTGCACAAGCCATTTAGAACCTTATTCATATAGGTAAACAGAAAAGTCATGTTGCTGCTGGCACATTCAAATGTTTACCTAAAACAAGTAAAGAGCTAATTTACTGATATTCATCAGCCATCGCCTACCGTAATTAAAGTTCAACTCTTCAGTTGAACTTTCTCCACAAGCAGCTTACACTTGAATCAACTATTTGCAGTTCCTATTTTCTCATTTATTATATACTGTCTTCACTGTCAGCTTGCCTTCCTCAGTACCCACGTCAGTTTGAACACTACTTCTTCTTGAGAGTAAAGACAGGCATATTTCCATCAAGAAACTGTGGCTCAAGTGATAGAGCATTAACCTTGAGCAAAGTAACTCAGGAACAACACTTTGGCCTTGAGTTCAAGCCCCAGGACCAACACCAAAAAACAAAAAACATCTCTATAAGCTTTTGTTCTGTATTACAACCATTTTGCCAAGACTGTTACTGTTTTCAGTTTTTTAATTTTTCAGGAAAGAACTTGGGTCAGTTTCTAAACCTTTTAAATTCTACATTATATATATATATATATATATATATATATATATATATATATATATATATATATGGAAACTTTTCTACAGTGATTCCAATGAAATTATTACCTATGTAACATATTTTCCTAAATATCCATATACAACTCTAGGATTTTTGACTATTTATGAATCAGTGTAGTACTTTACAGTGTAGATATCCCAATCACTTCATACTTATATTGTTTTGGGAGAATGCCACTGAGAATTAGGATTCTCAACTAGTTAATAGCACTACTGAAAGAATGGTAGTCTGATACACAACTCTGGACACTTAAAATTTTACACCCTAAATATTTGTCTTTCTTACTTGGTGACTTTAAATTAACCTTAGTTACAAATTAGAAATAAAAAAATTACAATTATGTGTACAAAACACACTTGGTTTCATTAGGGAAACATCTACAGAGTGCTCATTTTTGTTTTGTTTTTTTGGCCAGTCCTGGGGCCTGAACTCTGGCCCTGGGCACTGTCCCTCACTTCTTCAGCTCAAGGCTAGTGCTCTACCTCTTGAGCCATAGAGCCACTTCTAGCTTTTTCTGCTTATGTAGTGCTGAGGAATCGAACCCAGGGCCTCATGCATGCCAGGCAAGCACTCTACCACTGAGCCACCCTCCCAGCCCCTCAGAGTGCTCATTTTTTTGCTAACATGTTAAACCTTCCATCTTCCCTGCCACAATTCTAAGCTTTGACACAAAGCCAAGGCTTTTTCCCCCATTCACTATGGTGAAAAAACATTTGTGGCACATGCATTTTTTTTTAAACCATGCATGGGGCTCCTGGCTATAATCCTAGCTACTCAGTGAAGAGCTAAAGTAACTGCATTTTAAGATTAACCCCACCAACCTGTAGCTGTGCTGCCCTTAGAATAACCTCGAAAGAGGAACAGGTCTCAAAAAACCGCAGGTTGCCACCAATCCTGCCCACCCTCAAGGAACAGAACAGTTGCCTAAGTGTTGATCAGAAAAAGGGAAGTGCGATCAGGGAGGAGTTAAACCCCCTGAACTTGTTTGTGTGGAAACCCCCTAAACTTGATTGTTTGATACTTTAAAAGCTGTGCTAATTTTGTGCTCGGGGCCTCTTAGCATCACTGGTTACCGAGTGCGCAAAAAACCAATCTCGAGCTTGCAATAAATGACTCTTTGCTGTTTGCACTGATCGTGGTCTCTGGTGGTCTGTGAGGGGGCATCTGAAAACTGGGCACTTCACTCAGAAGGCTGAGATCTGAGGATTGCACTTCAAAGCCAGTCTGGGCAGATAAATTCATGACTCATCTCCAATTATCCACCAGAAAATTGGAGCTGTGGCTGAAAAGTGGTAGTATGCTGGCCTTGAAGAAGCCCAGGTCCTGAGTTCAAACCCCATGAGCAAAAAGGAGGGGAAAAGGGCAGAAAAAGTGAGGAAGAGTGAGGACAAGAAAGAGAATTTTTTTATTTAAAAAAAGAAAAGTGGGGCTGGGAAGATGGCTCAGTGGTAGTAGAGTACTTGCCTTGCATGCATGAGGCCCTGGTTCGATTCCTCAGCACCACATAAGCAGAAACAGCTCAAAGTGGCGCTGTGGCTCAAGTGGTAGAGCTCTACTAGCCTTGAGCTGAAGAGCTCAAAGACAGCATCCAGGCCGAGTTCAGAAAGAAAGAAAAAAAGAAAGAAGAAAGGAAAGGAGAGAGAGGGAGAAAGAAAGAAAGAAAGACAAGAAAGGAAGGAAGGAAGGAAGGAAGGAAGGAAGGAAGGAAGGAAGGAAAGAAAGAAAGAAGAGGGAAGGAGATCAAGTGGTAAAGAGCCTGCCTAGCAAGGCCCTAAATTAAATCCCCAGTACCACAAAATGGTGGAAGGAAGGAAGGAAGGGAGGAAGGGAGGGAGGGAGGGGGAAGGGGAGGAGGGAGGACGGGGGAAGTAATTTTAATTTAATTTTTAAATGGGGAAAGCAGCAGAGGGCTGGGGGTGGGGAAGCTGAAGAAGAAGCTACCCTAGCAAATTCAAGGCCGTGTTCAAACCCCAGCACCACAGAAAAGGAGGGAGGACGAAGGAGGGGAGGAGGGAGGACGAAGGGGGGGGGGAGGAGGGAGGAAGAGGGAGATGGAGAGGGGATGGAGGGAGGGAGGAAAACCCGAGTGCCCAGATTTGAACCCAAGAGTGTCCTACAACCCCGGAAAGCCTGTCGGTGAGGAGCGTGGAAACACGTGTTGAACGGCAAGGGCTGAGGAGCGCCGGTGCCGAGCGCCGAGGCCTGAGGAGAACGCCAACCAGAGCTCGCGTGGGGAAAACTTGCGTTGGGCCCGCCTTAACTCTCGAACTGCCCTCCGCCCAACAGGGGAGGCCCCGGCGGGCCTTCCCCGCCCCTTCCCCGCCCCTTCCCCGCCCCGTGACCTACGCTTCCCTCCCGTCACGATTCCATCCTGTCTGCCACCGGCTCCGCAGGCCCAGGACCACCCTTCTCTCCGAGCGCCGGAAGTTACACCCCGCGTGCGCGCCACCTACTTCCGGCGCCGCTTAACTTCCGTCACGGAAGTACTTGGATGTGCTGGCGTCTGGCGGCGTTGGAGGCTTTCCGGCGGTTTTTTGGGGGGTGGGAATACCGGGGGAGCTGGTTTCCCAGAGCCGCGACTCTGCCAGCCCAGAGCAGACTCCACGCCGGCGCCCCGGCCCGCGCTTCGCCCTTGGGACCGATGCCGGCGGCGTCCTGAGCCCCCCCCCCCGAGTGGGGCGGGAACGTGAGGCTGCGGGGCGGCCTCGCCTGCTGGCCTCGGGCTGCGTGGTTGTCCTGCAAGGCCAGGATGAAAAAGTTTCCGAAGAAGAGCCAGAACGAGAAGTACCGGCTGAAGTACTTGCGGCTGCGCAAAGCGGCCAAGGCCACGGTGTTTGTGAGTGCCCGTCGCGGAGCCCGCCTCCGCCCGCCTGCACGCCCGCCCCGGCTCTTCCCTTTCCCTGAGGGACAGTCTGCAGACGGTCATGGGGTTTGCGGTATACGCCCCTACTTGTCTTCGGACGAGTTACAATTTCCTCCTTTGGAAACGAGAGCTAGTAACTAGTGAAAGATGCAGTGTTGGAAAAGTAAAGTGCTTGATGCCTAGAAGTTCTCCCACGAAACCTCATACTTTTTAGTCCTTAGGACAAAACTCAGAAATGTGATTGGTTCCAGATAACCTGAAAAGTAGGTCATTTTTAAACACGCTTCCCTGAAGCCCAGAGAGAAAATTAATCTTTGCTCAAGGGCACAGTGTTAAGAGCCCTCACTCCAGCTTAAACAGCTTGATTACAGTTTAATGTTTCCATGACACTATCCGCTTCCCTAACAGCTTCCAATCCCAACCATACAAGTGGTGGGCAAATGTGTGTATGTGTGTACTTCCTCCTCCGTTCTAAGGCTGGAACCCAGGGCCTCCAGCATGCTAGCCACAGAGCTAGACACCCAACACCTGCCTTTCAGAGATTGGTTGCTTTGTTTTTATAATTAGCTTACATGAGTTATATAGTTACATTTAGGTGTTTTCCAGTCTCATCAGTCATTTAAGTTTATTGAATGAGCTGCCAACTATAAATTTGTGTTACTTATCCATCTTGTCTTAGTGCTTAGAAATAAGGATGTAGCCCTCAAATGTCGTCCCACATCTAAAATTAATGGTTTTCCTTTTATATGTATATATATAGTATATGTACACATTCATAAAGATAGTACCACTAATAAGTACGCTAATATAGTTATGAGTATGATTATTAGTGGTATTAATCCAGCAACTCAGATTATGAGTCAAGACATTTTGAATTCCCTCTTACTATCATTTAGAGGTTCTAGCTGTGAGGCATTTTCTTTAGTACTGGTGCTTAGGAGACACATTGAGTAAATCAGTAAAGAAAGATGACACTTGAATATATACAGGTAAATTATGAAGTTTCAGAATTGTGCACAGGGCCTGGGAAAGTGGTTCAGTGGTAGAGGGCTTGCCTTGCATGCATGAGGCCCTGGGTTCAATTCCTCAGCACCACATAAGCAGAAAAAGCTGGAAGTGGCACTGTGGCTCAAGTGGTAGAGCGCTAGCCTTAAGCTGAAAAGCTGAGGGACAGTGACCAGGCCCAGAGTTCAGGCTTAACTAACAACAAAACAAAAAGTACACAGAAGGCCAGGCATGGTGGCTGGTGCCTGTAATCCCATCTATTTGGAAAGCTAAGATCAAAAAGATCACCTTTCAAGGCCAGCTCAGCCAGAAAGTTAGCAAGTCCCCCTCCTCCACAAATAGCTGGGTAACACTGCATGTATCTGCCCTCTTAACTAGAAGGAAAGTGTAAATTTGGAAGCTTGTGGTCCAGGTCAGTTTGAGCTAAAACACAAGACCTTATCTCCAAAAATAACTAAAGCAAAAGAGGCAAGGGATATGGCTCAAGTGGTAGAATACTTCATAGCAAGCTTAAAGCAGAGTTCAAACCCAATTCCCTCCACTATTTCTAGGATATTATGTGGGATGCTTTCGGTAAAATAGCTCTTCTGTTATCCAGCGACACTATATATCTATAAATAGATACAGATATATCCTCTTCCCAGCACCTTGATCTTCACTTTATATGATTATGTTCAAATTTTTTCTTAAAGGAAAATGCTGCTATTTGTGATGAAATTGCTCGTCTTGAGGAAAAATTTCTTAAAGCAAAAGAAGAAAGAAGGTGAGCTAGTTTCATCTTACATTCAGAAAAACATTTTTGGAGAATGATACAAGATTATTGCTATGGAGACTTTTCTCCAATGGAATTTTTGTGCATTGCATTGCCCTTTGGCCACTTGAGCAAGTATAAACTTACAACCTATAGAATTGGTCCCCATACACCCAAGTCATGTTGGACCATGATGAGAAGACAGCCCCTCTATTTATCTTCCTGAGAAAACCCTCTAATCTTTATTATAAAATCCACAAGTATTTATACAGTCTGTACTACTTTAAGCTAAGCATAGTAGATATATATATAAAACTATTCAGATACCTAACACCTTTTAACAGAGATAGAAGAGTATTCCAGGTCAAAAAGAGATATAGGACACAGAAGCTTAGATATGGCTTCTTGAAGTATTCGTTTTTCTCTTGAGACATCACCCCCATGGTCAAAAAGAACTTTATTTATGAGTATGATAATCTCTTTACATAATTCTGGATTTTTTCTAGAATTAGTAAAACGTAAGTTCATACTTCTGCTCCCTTTCCTTCCTGACCTCAGGTACTTGCTAAAGAAGCTCCTCCAACTTCAGGCACTAACAGAAGGGGAAGTACAGGCTGCACCTCCTTCCCACAGCTCCAGTTTGCCCCTGACTTATGGTGTGGCCGGTTCTGTGGGTGCTATACAGGGAACTGGGCCCATTTCTGGGCCCAGCACAGGGGCTGAGGAACCATTTGGGAAGAAATCCAAGAAGGAGAAAAGAGAAAAAGGCAAAGAGAACAACAAATTGGAAGGTACTTTTGAGAAACAATGTATCAGTTATCCCAGTGGTTCAACTACTGATGACAAAAACCTGGTTACTAACTGGTAAACAAATGTGGTCATATACACTTCAAGGCTCCTAAGTCTTTTCAAAAGTTTTGGGACTTTAAAGTCCCTTGAGAAGCAGATGCCTTAGTAGAGCCAACTTCCGTTGGAAAGATTTTAGTCAGACTTAGTAAATGTAAAGGGAACAGACTTAAGATTTCTGTCTTTCCTTACTTTCATAAAGTCTTTACTAAAGGCAAGGAAATGGGTTAGGTGGCACTTTGAGCACACAACTAGCTTGAGAAATTTCTCATCTGACTTCAAAATGTATTGAGTACTAGTGGACAGGTTAGAGTAAATCTTGGGACTCTGGAAAAGCCTATTATAGTTCACTCAATACCAATGATTCCTGACTTAGAAAGGCTCAACTTAATGATTTTTTTCAACTTTACCATAGTGTGAAAGTTAAATGTACATTCAGTAGAAACCATACTTTGTGTTTTTATCTTTTCCTCGGATCGTAATACTCAGTATGATGCTCTTTGGTTCCTGGGCAATAGAAACAAGCCACGGTTCCCAGTCAGCTCCACACAATCACAAGGGGAAACAACTGGGTTTTTATAGTATACTATGTTGCTTGGCTGTAGCATTTGGTAGATAGGCTTATTAATATGTAACCCAAGGTAATTCAAGGAGTATCTGTAGAAAATCAAGGTTGACTTATTGCCCTTAGCTCACAAGTAAATTTTTTCCTTCTCCTCGGCACTGGGAGGGACCTAAAGTGGATGACCCCAGATTTGCGTTTCAGTTCTGAAGAAAACATCCAAGAAAAAGAAAATGGAGGGAGGTGCTCGCAAGCTGGTTCAGCCCATTGCCCTGGATCCCTCAGGACGGCCTGTGTTCCCCATCGGACTAGGGGGTCTAACAGTATATAGCCTGGGGGAGGTGAGTGAGACCAGCCACATACAGAGAGGAGAACCAGGGAAATATAGCAGCGGGGTTGAGCTATCCCTCCCTGTTCCCATCAGCAGCACCCCCTTGCTGATCCATACCAGTCCCAGAAAAATCTCCAGTCCCTACAAATCCAGGTCAGCTTCTACCTGCTTTGCAGCTGTCACTCTGTGTGGTTTGTTACTTTGTAGCCCCAAAGTGGTTCTAAAAGCAGCCAGAGTGAACTGGATTTTTAAATCCTTCAGTGACATAAATCTCAGGGATGGGGGACTCTTTTTATAGATCATCACCGACCGACCTGGCTTCCATGATGAGTGCACCATCTACCCCGTGGGCTACTATAGTACACGATTGTATACCAGCATGAAGTGCCCAGACCAAGAGTGTCTATATACCTGTCAGATCAAGGATGGTGGTGTGCAGCCTCAGGTACCCATGTGAATATAATTACTTCTTTTGGCTTTTTTTGTTAAGAACCTCTGTTCTAGACACTTAAAATGTGTTACCAGTTCTGACACCTTACAAGATAGATGTGATATCATTGCCATTTGATAAGCTCACAAGATTTAGAAAAAGTATCTGACCCTAAGTCACACCTCACTTCTAAGTGGTTAAGCTGGGATGCGAATATGTATCTAATTTTCAAACTTGACTTTCACTTAAACCATATTTCTTCTACTTGAACAATACTACTGTCCATATTTTGACTATTTGAGGCTTGATCAAACCTGATTGTATTAAGTACGGGCTTTTTACATGGAAGATTAGTTTCAAGTTTGAGCTATGTGGAGGTAGCAGAGAAACCACATTTTAGTTTCTGGATGCATGAAAAGACCAGGAAATCCCAAATCTCATTCTTATTAAATACTAAAATGCAAAGCAGCTTATTTTTCCAATCCGTCCTTTGGGAAAAACATAGCCCATTTTCACATAGACCATTTTCAGAATTCCAAGCCTCACTGTCTGATGAAGTAACATATCACTAGAGACCGGTTGGAAGGATGTAAAGGCAAGGTAAGGAATCTTTGAGCAGGTGGGAGAACCTCAGTTCTACCTGATTTAAGTTGGTAATACTGCATCAGTCCTGTTAAGAATTCAAGTGAACTTGGTCATACAATAGTGTTCTGCAGAAAGGGTCCTAAAAGATACAGATCAGTAGGTAGTTAGACACACACACACATATCCCAGAGCTGTAAATATAATGCAAATCTAATCAAAATACTACTAAACTTTTAATGGAAATTGGTACACTGATTTTTAATTTCCTCCGAAAGACACAATGCTTAGCCATTATTGAAATAGAGTAATTCATGTCGTATTTATTTACTTACTTATTTAATTAACCTGACATTACTTTTAGTTATATCACGAAATAGGAATTTAAATTTTAGTTTTTTTGCCAACTAGCATCAAGTGACTTTCTAAAAACTAAGTACATACAGTACTTGATGGGTCTGTTTCTTAATGGTTCTGTAGATTTGTCAGTAAGCACCAATACAATAGACTTTAGCTTTATAGAATATGCTATAGATATGTTAAGGAAAATGTGAAAGCTTCGGTTTGTTGTTTTCTTTGCCACTCCTGGGGCTTGAAATCTGGCCCTGGGGCACTGTCCCTGAGCTTCTTCTTAGACTCCAGGCTAGTACTCTGCCACTTGAGTCATAGCTCTACTTCTGGTTTTTTCTGTGTTAATCAGAGGTAAGAGTTTCATCGATTTTCCTACCCGTGCTGGCTTCAAACTGTGCTCCCCAGCTTCCTGGGTTACTTAAGATTACAGGTATGAGTCACTGGCACTCAGCTGAAAAGGTTTTCTTTAGCAAGACATGAAAAACAAACTGTAAAAGAGTAACATACTAGGCTATAAAAATTGTAAATACTTCTGAGTGATGAAAGACACCATACTCAAAGTTAACAGACAAGCAGCAAAAAGGAAGAAAAATATATACACCATGGGATTCATGTACAGTTAAAGTGCTGCTACAGAATAATCAACAAAAGTGAAACTGTAAATGACTAGATGAGAAACAGGTTAAACCAAATACTTCATTTGGGGGAGAAAAAAAAACTTAACAAATGATCTTCTAAACCCTGAGCCACACACTCTCTAAGTGTTCACCTTTCCCACAGAATTTTGCTGGAGATTGTGTAATTGAGGAGTAAACTGATACAACCATGAGGAGGTTTGTTTTCTGCATAGTGTGCTTAGAAGCCTAGAGACTTGCTAAATTCCAACTCTTGTGATGTTTTAAAAGATCGTGAAGTTACCACATGCACATGAATCAAGTTTTGAGATACCATATAATGGTGTAGGTGGCTTTCCATTGTACCACTTCTTTTTTTTTTTTTTTGGATTCTCAGGCGTTATGTGGCATTGCAAGAACTCTGTCACATTAACAAATACAATCAAAAGTAAGCATATAAAAATGAAAAATAAAATGAGACCTTATTTTTGCCTCTATACAACTATCAGTTTGATAATATCCTGTATTGACCAAGTTTAGGAAAACAAGTACATTAGTACTAGTGAATATTGGTAGTTTTTTGGAGGATAACTTGTGATGCCAGCAATTTTAATACTTGTGTCCTTGACCCAGGATACCTAAGGTGATCTTGTATCATCTAAAGAAATATGTATCAGTGAACAAAGAAAAACATAATAGTGTACACGGAGAGTAATTTCACGTATTTAAAATATTATTTGTATGGATACATACATCATAATGTCATGCAATATGCTGTAATTATATAGTTTTGTCTAAAATAGAAAAAAATGCTCAATATTTTGTTAGAAAGAAAATAAAACTTGGAGAACCCTAAATATGGCAGGAAAGTGTTTAAGGATATGGTAAGTGGAATAGGAAAGGGGCTAGAAAGGTATAGAAGAGATTAAATGTTCACCCCTGGAAAATTGTCAGCCAAGCAGTATAGAATTCAAACAGCCGAAGGACTTTCTCTGTTTACTTGTGATGTTTTTGAATTTGTGGGGAGGTTGGGGGGAGACCTTGAACTTTGGGCCTAGGCGCTGTCCCTGAGCTCTTCAACTTAAGGTTATTACTCTGCCACTTTGAGCCACAGCACTACTCCTGTTGTTTAACAGCATTATAGGAAACTGTTTATATCCATCTTCTGATAAACAGCAGCTTCACAATCTAGAGAGAAGAAATATTTATAGGACTGCTATGACTCTCTGCTTCCCTCTTTGCAGATTGATCTAATCATTCCTTTGTTGTTCTCAGTTTGAAATTGTTCCCGAAGATGATCCCCAGAATGTCATTGTTGGCTCTTCTGCAGATGCTTGTCATGAAGAACTGCTTAGAATCATCAATGCTAGAGTGTAAGTTGGCCAACAGCTTAAAGAAGGCTAAAAGGATCAGTCAGTACAGTGAGACTTTCAGTGAAATCCCTCGTTTTGTAGAAACCAATTCTGTATCCTTCAAACATCTCCCTCTTAAGCTCTCAAGCGAAATTTTCTCTCTCTCCTGTTTAGGGGAAAGATAATGCCTAACCTGCTTCCATCTGGAGCTGACTTTTTTGGGTTTTCTCATCCAGTCATTCACAACCTCATCCAAAGTTGTCCAGAAGCTCAAAAATGTGTCAAGTAAGTGTGGGCAAACCCATTTCATTGGTAGAAGCTCAGTGGTCAACCAACAGGGACTAAACTGACAGTTACTATTTTTTTTCCATTCATGTTTATTGAACTATTGTGGCCAAGGCATGTGTTCTTCCACACTATCATGCCTCTAAACACAGGAGAACAGAAACCAGGAACCCAGTATACTGTATTATGTGTTGAGTATGCCTTATCTAGAATCCTTAGGCCTAGAAATACTTAAGATTTGAGTTATTTTTCAATTTTAGAATATTTACATATAATAATGAGGTAGTTGGAGATAAGAGCCAAGTCTATATAGGAAATTCATGTTTCATACCTGTTTATATGTCCTAAAGGTACTTTTAGACAATATTTTTTAGCACCACTCCATTTTTACTTGTGACCAAACGTAAGGGATTTTGTAGCCTTCTGAGTGATCAAAAAGGTTGAGCCTTTGCAATGGTTTGGAATTTTCAGATTAGGGATACTCAGCCTGTGCTGTTTTCTGTGTGCACCATGATAGCAAAAGGGTTATGAAAGAGTCTTGCTTGTTTTCTTTTTCCCTGGCATTTGATTTGCTTCCTTACCTAAAATGTATATATATAGGAAAGACCTAATTAAAAAAATAAGTTGACCCCTTTGTAATTAGGACAACTCATGAATGATTCCCTTTGATCCTGCAGTTACCAGTTGGTAAAATTTGATGCATGCAAACCTGAAGAAGGACTACCAGAGAATGAGATAGCTATGAGCTTTGAAGTCTTTCAGAAACAGACTTTTGGTGAAGATCATGATGATCCCATTCTGCCAGGTATCTTTTTGCCTTTCTGGGTTGAAAACTGATCATTTCTAGAGTATCATGCTCTCTTCACACATTGCTGAGTACCCCAGAAATCAGGCATCTGGGCAATAAATGTTTTAAGCCTTCACGAAGAATATGAAGAATATATGAAGTCATGAAGAATACAAAGTCAAACAGATATGCTGCCTGCCTAGATTCCTAGGTTACTCACAAATTTATAGAGCAAGCTAAGATACCCTGACAAACCGCAATATCTCATTCTCTAACCTGAATAAAATCTAGGTACAAAAGGGAGAGGTTTACTGTATGGGAAATTTCAGATGACAACCAAGTGGTGGTGGCCATGGCTCTGCCTAGGTTTCTTACATTCCTTCTCAAAGTAAGAGGAGTAATCAGAAATTCAGGCATATTTGGGCTATAGAGAGTTGTGTATCATATATAGCCATAGCAAAGTCACTTTCAAAGAGCAATTTCATTGTTCTTCATGATAAAAATATCTGTCCTATTTTACCAACTAAAGAAAGAATGGGCTGAATTTTGCAAGGATGTTGAAGAATTAAAAGGCCATGTAAATGTCTGAATAAATCACTTCTAAGATTCCCAAGCATTAGTTGGACTTAAAGATTATTTCTTCCAGGATCTTTGGACCTGCCTGAGCTACAGCCTGCAGCCTTTGTGACTTCTTACCCACCTGAGTTCCTGACACGCGAACCCTTAGTAGGCACTCACCTGCAGCACCTGGAGTGTCCATCACAGTGCAGCCCAGTTCTGTCTTCAGACTGAAGAAAGGATCAGATCTCACTTTATTTTCATCACAATGACTTTTTTAACCAAAACTTAGAATATATGGGATAAAGGCAGCCATTCATGACTGAAGAAGATTTTTATCACATTTCATCATGGGAGTTCCCATGGTGATAATTTACCCTAGAAGCAACTTCACTTTATTTTTAGTAAAAAAAAAAAAAAAATTCTCTTAAACATTTGGTTTTCATCTTCTTGTAATCAGAGTATAATCTTGTTTGGCTCTGCCTAAAGTAGACTTCAGTATTAATCTGCTTTGTCTGTTTGGGCTGAGATAGCAAAGTACCATAGACTGAGTGGCTTAGTGACAGCAATTTTATTTCCCATGGTTCTAGAGACTGGAAGTCCCAAGTTCAAGGTGCTGACAGTGCCTACTGAGGACCTGTTTCTGGTTCAGAGAGAGCCATCTAGCTGTAACCTCCATAAAAGGGGCAGAGGAACTCCTGTGGTCCCTTTTATAAAGGCACTAATCCCATGCAGAACCCTATGGCCTACTTCCCTCCCTGAGGCTTCAACTCCCCACACCATCACAGTAAGGATTAGGATTTAATTTATGACTTGACCTAGTGAGTATGTAATAGCTGCCAATTTTTGAGTAAGGTTCAAAATCCTCTTTAACCCATTTCATATGCTTTCTATTCCTTATTGGAGATTGTACTTTTAGTTCTGTGTGCTGAAACCAAATAACAGATTCACAGGGGACATGGTTGGGAGTTGTTCCCATCTCCCTAATGCAGTAGAGTGACATCATTCCATTTTAACCATGTAGAGCATAACTCTGCATGCTACACAACTGAACTCTTTGGTCCCTGTACATAGCATTAATGTGGAGCTTAGTGTATCACCTAATCCCATCAGTGCAGGTTCATCCTACCTTGTGCATTGCTTCTAGGTGCCCAAGGCTGGCTTGAGTAGTTAGGGAAGGGACAAAAAAAAAAGCAGAAGCAGAATGGGGAAAGCAGTGGTGAGAATGAATTGTTTGTGTGCTGTATAATTCATGATTGCCAACCGAAGACAATATAAATAAGATGATTAGGATATTAAAGAAATGTGACCAGCAGAGAAAAGAATCAGAAAGAACAGTATTTGGAGCATAGCACCCTGGCCACTGTCAGCATCTACATAACTGGTATAATGTTTTTTGTTTTATGTTTGGCTTTTTTGTTTGTTTTAGCAGTCTGGGGTTTGAACTCAGGGCTTCCTGCCTACTAAGCAGGTGCTCTACCACTTGAGATACTCTGCTAGCCCTTTTTGTATTATTTTTGAAGTAGGATCTAGCTTTATGCCCATGTCAACCTAGACTGGGTTCCTGTTTGTACTTGTTCATATAGTTGGGATGACAGACATGCATCTTATGCCCAGTTACTGTGTTGACATGGAATCTTACTGAGCTTTTTGTACATGCAGTTCTCACAATGATCCTCCAAAACTCCACCTCCCAAACAGCTAGGATTATAGGCTTGAACCATGTCACCTAGCCTTAACTATGATTATTAGTCTTTTTGTGAGCTGTCTTTTATAATGCCAAAAAGATATAAAATTTGGATAATAGCCAAGTCAGCAAAAGATTACTCAAACACTGTTAATATTTGTATCTGTTTCCTGCATAAGTTGATGGAGCATGCTGCTTTTATCATTTAAGAAATGTTATTACAGCCTGAATATAAATATATATATATATTAAAAACTCATTTTAGGATGAATCTTTAAAAAATTTAATGAATTGGTTCAAGTTTACTAGAACAGTTTTTCAAACTATAAACTCAACCTAATAACTTAAACATAAACTTAAGGAGTCTAGTATACAAGCATCTATCATGGGAAAAGGTTGAAACTGGTTTCAGTTAATGGGTATGTTTGAATGTGCATAATGTACATGCATTTGTATGTATGGAGATAGGTGAAATAGTATCAAATGCTTTTGATTATATTTTTAAAAACCTAAAAATACTTCATATACATTTAATATATCGTACCTGTTATATTGCTAAAGATAGTTGTGTCTTGATAACATTTTGTGCCCTGAGGATGAGAGGAAAGGAGTATCTTGAAGGAAATAAAAATTGTTTGGGAGGGTTAAGCTGTAGATAAACATTTTAAATATGTATTTATCTTTTAATCTTTTATTCCATGTTAAAGACCCTAAGAAATAACTGGACAAGTATGATAGGTTTATATGTCACAGTGTTTGCTTAATAATGGAAATCTGTTAAAAAGCCAATATAATATGTCTATCAGTAGAGAATTGGCTAAGTAAAGAATGAATTTCCACAAACTGAAACACTGGCTATCTTCCTCTTACATAAGAAAATTAGTAGACTAGTCAAAAACACAATGCTGGGATTCCTTGAGGAGTGTTGACATTGAAAAGCTGTAGAATAATGGAAAGTAGGCAGACCACATATAGATGAGTTTAGTTGTCTGTCCTTTCTGAAGTTGCATCTCTGATTGTCAAGGCACTGTTTTCTGTACAGTGTTTCGACTTTGACCTGCATAGCTACCCTGGAGCCAGACTGACCTATGGACATATGAATAAAATCTGGATAAAAGGTTCATGCATTTGACAGTTTCTGTTTTTTTGTTTTGTAAGTCATGGGGCTTAAATTCAGGGTCTAGGTGCTGTCCCTGAGCTTTTTTCTTCCTCAGGGCTAGCACTGTACCACTTTCAGCCACAATGCCACTACCAGTTCCCTGGTGGCGATAACAGTCTCATGTTCCTGCCAAGGCTGGCTTCAAACCACAATCCTCAGATATCAGGTTCCTGTGTACCTAGGATTACAGGTGTGAGCAACCAGCACCCAGCATTTGACAATTTCTTTAGGTTGGGATCTTAAAGGCGCTGAATAGATGTTGTCCCAGTGATAAATATTAAGGTGAAAAACAAATAGAACATTTTCTCACTAGGAAGAGAGTAGAGCATGATAAGTTCCCAGAGTTAAATCCTTAGTTTTCCCTAATGAGGAGGGACTGATCACTGTAGGGTTCCCTCACTAGGGAACTGTGGTCCTCTCACTAGGCAATACATTTAAACTTGTTAGTCTTGTGTGTGTGTGTGCTGTTTTTTTTGTAGTTTTGTATATGTGTTTTGTTTTTTGTTTTGTTTTTGGTCTGGTCATGGGGCCTGAACTCTGGGCCTGGGCGCTGTCCCTCAGCTCTTCAGCTCAAGGCTAGCACTCTACCACTTGAGCTACAGTGCCACTTCTGGCTTTTTTTTCCTGCTTATGTGGTGCTCAGGAATCGAACCCAGGGCCTCAAGCATGCAAGGCAAGCGCTCTACCACTGAGCCACCTTCCCAGCCCTAAACTTGTTTTAAGTTCTCTTTGTGACCTTTCACAAAGCAGCCTCTTTGACTGGATTAGTTTTTCTTTTTGAATCATTTGTAGAATATAGTTGTCATATAACTCCATTTTCTCCATATATTAAACAATTCCATTAAAAAGATTACAAAATAAAAGTATATGGTATGTATTATGTAATCCAAACAAATCTAATATTTCTCCCTTAATGATGATTTTTATGCAACTTACTTGCTTATACCTAATTTCCTACAGTGATTATTTCATTTCAAACAGTAAAGTTCTTTTGGGGAAATACACAATTGCCACAAAGTGTGCCATCATTAAAAATAAATTCATTTACACATTACTTCATTATACATCCGTTGCCTAAATGAAAGTTTTACACGTGGGATTGGAATACTAGGTATAAGATCTTGGGTGTAGTTTTTGGCTACCTCTTCTTGCATTAGAAACCTCTTCTATATATATGGGCATATGTGTACACTGGTTTGTCAGAAGTGTGGACAAATAAGATTTACTCTTTCTCAGGTCAATCTTAAGTTCATGGTTCTTATGAGGCCAAGTGTATAAGAGAAAAAGTGTGGACATTAGGACTTAATTATAGGCTAGGAAGTCTTAGAGAAGCCAAAGTTCCTTACAGAGTTTATAGTTTGTGTTTTGATTTTTTTTTAACCAAATAAAATCTTGACACTGGCAAGCTGTTCTGCTGTTTGGAATTACACTAAAGCCCCTTGGAAGCAGATGTAGAAAGTGATTCTTAGCTGCTTTAGTTCTGATTTTTCACATTAAAGGGATGGCAGGAACCCACAGATGACATTCTTAATCCTTTTCTTACTTAAACTTCAAGAGCAATTTACAAGTCTTCCTAACACAATTTTGACTGGATATATATAAATACATACACAGCACTAATCATACATTTATTTCCAACTCCTAATAGATAACAATTTTTCAAGAACCATCAGCTGTTTTTAATCAACCTATAAACTGCATTATGGTTTTTTAGTTTTGTTTTGGTGGTAGTGGGGTTGAACTCAGGATCTTGTGCTTGCTAGGCAGGTGCTCTACTCAAGCCACTCCCTAACTCTCATGATTCTTAATAATATACATTAAGGCCCTGTTTTTACCACTGTCTCAACTGCATTTTTTTTTTGCCAGTCCTAGGGCTTGAATTCAGAGCTTGAGTGCTGTCCCTGAGCTAGCACTACAGTCTACCACTTGAGCCACAGTGCCATTTCCAGCTTTTTCTTAATAGTTTAGTGAAGATATGTGTCTCAGACTTTCCTGCCCAGGCTGGCATCAAACCAAAATGCTCAGATCTCAGCCTCCTAAGTAGCTAGAATTACAGGTGTGAGCCACCAGCACCTGGCTGGCACCTTATTTTTTTCTATAAGTTTATCATATAGTTCTGCCTTTCAGGCTAACTTTTTCTATGTGAATTAGCCTTAAACTCTTTAATGAGCCTGAGAATTATATTTAATGATCCTTTAGCTTCCATTACCATTACTTTCATGCTTTACTGAACCTATGATTCACCCAGCACTGATGTGAGTGCTTGAACAAGGCTATAACTACATGGCCCATTCTATTCCGTAAGGCAGGTTATTGCCTTAAAGAATAAACATATCTGCACTTGGGTTGGTTGGTTTGGCTTAAATAGTCACATAATCATTCATTTAAAGGAGCAGAATTGGACTTTAAAAGAAAACAAAGTCTTCAATTACCTAAAAGACTGTCATGGAGTGGTAAAGTTTCATAAGAGAAAGATTTCACTTCAACATAAGGAAAAACTTGGAAACTTCTTACAGAGATTCAGTAATCAATCACTTGCCAAGAGATTTTGTAAAGAACACATGAAAACACTATCTGGCCTCCATGGCCTTTAAAATCTTCTTCCAACCCGGAGATTCCACAGTTCAGGATTAGAAGGGATAAAAATACTAGCCATTTCACTCCCAGTAATTAGGAAGTGACACTGAGCTCTAATTCATTGTAGTACAGAGGCTGATACTAAGGGATAAAGGCAAGCTTAACTGTTATGGACAACCCTGCACTAATGTCCAAGAACCTAGTCTATAATGAAAGAAGTGAAGGGAGGTGCTGGCAGCTTAGTATGGTAGTCATAGAGAGGACACTGCTTATATTCACAAGGCCATGTGGACCAGGCATAGCGGAGAGCAGCCACAGTGGCAGTACAAGACAAAACATCCAAGGTCAAGATGTGGGAAGAGAAAACTTTCATGACAGCTGGAAGCCACTTGCAGCGATGTTCCACGCAACATGCCATCTAATGAGACAATCAGAAAATAGAAATGGTCAGATCAATTAGATGGTACCAAGAAACTGGGAACTGCACTGTCAGACACATTAGAAAGGAGGGAAGGAGCCACTTTTAGTCAAAGACCCATTTCCTATGTTAACCAGAAGCTGGACTAGCTTTGATCTGGTTGACGAAGCCACAAGTTTATAAAATGTTCATGTGGTCTGAGAGTAGCTTAGGTAGAGACAAAGCCCTGAGTTCAGGCACAGTCCCAAAATAAATAGATGCATGAGATTAAATTAAGTCAATATATAAAACATACTGATGTAGACAAAGAATCATATCAAACATTTATAAGTTTCCCTGAACATTCTTCTCGTAGTCCTACCTGCTAGATAGCAAAGCAAGCAGGCATAACTATCATTGGCAACTGTACCTGGCTTCCAAAGCTTAATTTCTGTCCTGACCTCAACTGGGGTTCCAGGGCCAGATGATGGACAGCCAGGCAATAGCTGCCAAAAAGAGAGAATGCAGAGCCTTCTTGGGAGCCATAATTCACTTGACATTCATTATGGAAAGAAGCTAAGTGACATCTGAGTGCTGACATCTGAGGCAGGTGGTTATTGCAATCAAGATTCCAGAAAGGTAGGGAGCTGGTGGCTCACACGGTAATCTTAGCTACTCAGGAGGCTGAGATCTGTGGATCACAATTCAAAGCCAGCCCCGCCAGGAAAGCCCATGAGACTCATCTCCAATTAAGTACCACAAAAGCCAAAAGTGGAGCTGTGGCTCAAATGAAAGAGCACTATCCTTGAGCAAAAAAGCTCAGAGACACAGCACTCAGGCCCTGAGTTCAAGCCCTAGGACAGGCACAAAAAAAAAAAATTTCCAGAGAAGCTGCAGACTTAGATAAACTCCCATGTGAAGTTTGTCAAATATTCTCTCATCCCCCTGGTACCCTCTTTACATATGCTCTCCCAGCCTAATGGCCTCTAGATCCCCAAAGACACTCTAATTCCATCCAGGAATGCCTCAACCCACTCACCCCCATCATCCTCAACTATAGAAAACTCATAATTAGTATCTTTAAACCAACAGCTCAATTGCACAACAGAATGGTCCTTACTTAGTATAAGAAGAAAACAGTATCATTAATTCATTCTAAGTTACAAATCACCAAGCTTAAACCTTTAAGGTAGACACAAAACTTAAAGGATGTCAGAATGGAGGGTAGTGTAACAAAAACACCCAAAAATGAGGAGAGTATTTTGGATCAATGATTTTGTAATAATCTATTTAAAAAAAACCAAAGCATTTACATAAGCAAAGATGGCATTGTCTTAGAGTGGAAATACAAAAAGAATATTTAATAGGAGCTCATTTTCCCTTTCTTGATTATCCTGTCAAACTTGCCCCCTGAGATAATGAATTAATAGCTACTTACTTATCCCTCTGAGATTAGCTCTCCCTCTCCCTCCCCCCCAACCAAGAGTTGCCTCATAGTCACATTATAATGACAGAGAAAGACTTTGTGTCAAGCAACCTTGGCAACTACCATGGGATGAACCCTTCTTTTTTTTTTTTTCTTTTTGCTTCTTACCTCAAATGTCCTGTTGCTCAGCTTCTGCAAATAGATCTGGATATGCCGGTTATAAGTGATGTTGAGCAGCCCTCCACGAGACAATAATTCTAGCTTGTCAGGCAGTGGTCCTTGAAAGATCACATCCGTCTCCCCATAAGCCACAGCACGGGCTCCCAAGTGCAGCCGATAGGCCACAGTCTGTTTGTCTCGAGGGTGGATGCTACAGGATAAAGAATGAAAACATTGGGTTTGAACTCATTTTAAAGGAGATTATACAAAGCATTCCTGAAGTAGGTAAGGATAAAGTTACTGGACTCTTTGAGTAGTACTAGTCACTTTAAAAGAAATGGGAAAAGGTAACCATAGATTTGGCTTTGGGCCTTTGATGAGTTTAACCTGGAAACAACAGAATACTTGGAAGGAAGAAAAAAAGAGAAAGAGAGAGAGAGAGAGAGATGCTGGGTTCCAATGGCTTATGCCTATAATCCTAGCTAATCAAGAGGGAGAGATCATCGGATTAGAGATTTAAAGCCAGGCAGGACAGAAAAATCTATAACACTCTTATCTCTAGTCAACCACCAAAAAAAAACAGGAAGTGGAGCTGTGGCTCAAGTAGTAGTGTGTTAGCCTTGAACAAAAAAGCTCAAAGGACAGTTCCCAAGCTCCAGGACTGGCACTAAAACAAAGGTGAGGGGGGAGAGGGGAAAGGGGTAGGAATGTACTCATTACCTGATTTACAAAATAACCCTCTGTACAACTCCTTAATAATTACAAGAAAATTAAATTTTTAAAGGGGGAGGGACAAGGATAACAAGGACATTCGAACAAACTTAAGAGAGCTTAACAAAATTATTCCCAATCACAAACTCCTGTGTTTATCTGGATTAAATGTTTATAATTTCTGCTCCTTCCAGATATAAACTGTATGAAACTTTAAGGATGCTAGGGAAGGCAGGTCAATTTGCAGTCTATTGCTCTGGGTCCTGTCAATAAGTACAATGAACAAAATGTTGGTTGACCTTTAGACCTTTAGACCTGACCTTTAGACCTCAAGACACGAGCTGTTTAGAGTTTTTTGGGGGGGTTGGGGTTTTGATATTGTGGTTGATGTTGAAACACATGCCTCCATTGATTACTGACACAGACAATTCAACTAAGCTCCAATCCTTAGTCCAATCTGTTCTCTCACAAGTAAACATCACAGTAAAGGACTACAGATGAACAACAGGCACTAGTCAAGCACACTCTAAGAAACAATCATACCTGCCGAAAGGTGAGTCCCTATCACCAAGATCCATAGTGACAGCCATGAAAGTGTTGCGCATTACTGTGTTGGGAACAAAGCCAAAATCTGCTGTTTGGTGCCATCGGATCTCAGGAAATCTTTCATCTGATATTTCCGGTGACAAATAGGAAGATAACTGGAAAATAAAGACATTATTTTTTATTGAGTCAGATCCTATTCCAGAATGGAATTGGATTGGCAGGCTCTGCTTCTGCTTCATTGATCTGACCAAAAGCTCATTCAACAAGAATTTACTGTGCAGGGCCTTTGCAGAGGTAGATGCAATAGTCTTTCATCCCATGTGCCTTTTACAATGCAACTTACCACAGCTCTCATCAAGAGTCTTGCTTCATCCTCCCATTGAATCAAGGCCAGCCCTGTGATTTGCTGACCAATAGAATGTTCAGCTTCTGTTTGCCCCTAGAGGTCTTAACTTCTAGTTCCATCTCTTGGAACCCTATGCTGGTTGTAAGGGGGTGAGAGGAGCAGTTACTCTGGGTTATGCAAAAAGAGGTGGCCTTGGAAACAAAGATTGTGGTGAGAGGTTCCAGTTTCCCAGCAATCTCAGCAGAGGGGCTTGCCGTGTGAATTCTACAGTCAAATTACAACCACATACACAAACCTAACTGGTAACACCGCAGGTAAAGATGAGCCTTCCCAGCTGAGTCCTGTCTGGCCAGGCCATGAATTGTGAACAGATAAAATACTTAATTTTTTAACTACTAATTTGAGGAGTAGTTTGTTACAATGCAGTAGGTAACTGATTTTCTACACAGCACAGGGAAGCAAAGACCCAGCTGTTGCATATATGATAAGCTGCATCAAAGGCGCCAATTCTTTTCTTTATTCCTTCCTATATCCACCACTGCCCTCCTTTTTTTTTTTTTTTTTTTGGTTGTGGGGCTTGAACTCTTGGCCTGGGTGCTGTCCTTCAACTCTTCAGCTCAAGGCAAGCGCTCTACCACTTGAGCCACAGCACCACTTCTGGTTTTCTGGTGATTAACGGGAGATAAGAGTCTCACAGATTTTTTCTGCCCTGACTAGCTTTGAACCGCTATCCTCAGATCTCAGTCTCCTGAATAGCTAGGATTACAGGCGTGAGCCACCGGCACCCAGCTTATCTACCACCTCTTGCCATGTCACTTTACAGGTTTTCCCATGTTAAAAGGAAGCATAGATCCCCACTTGATTCTGTATTCAGCTATGTGGTTTCCTTTGGCCAACAGATGAAAGCAGACAATACAGTGTTATGGTGTGTCCATTCCTAGCCTAGGCTTCAAGAGATACTGCCTCACTTGAACTTCTGCCATAAGTAAGAAAGGGACATGTTTGGTTTAGTCCATTGATCTCTGAGGAAGGATGAGGGCTGTGGAACACAGTTGCCCATCATCTCCATTCTGGACAGGGCCCAACTAGAGGAGAATCCCCTCTGAGCCACAGAGATCTGAAAGAACCCCAGAACAGTTGAACCCAAGATTATCAAATAAGGAGCCCCCAGAACTATAATAATATAGCTTATAATGAAGGTTATTATATTATCATAATATGTTAATACAAAAATTATATACTAACAATAATAAAGATTATTGTGAAGCCATGGAGTTTGGAGGTGGTTTGTCACAAAGCAGAAGCTAGCTGGAAAAAGTACTTCACAGTTTTGCTAAAGATATACCTGATATAAGAAATTTTATAGACAAGAAATGTTCATTAACAATGGCATAAATAATATGTATGAGTTCAATGGTAAATTAGTGAAACAGTAATTATACATTTCAACTACATAAAGATTATTATAGGAAAACATGGCCTTACGATGTATTTTTTAAACCCTGGAAGGGCACAGTAAATACAAGAAGTCCCTACAAGTAGCCATGATTGTACGTGACATGCTACAATCGTAGAAGGGACAAAAGAAAGAGAATGGCTGTTTTGAGAGTTTAGCCTACGTGGACTGGAGGAATTATGATGGAAAGTCAAGGTTGGAAGGCTAACAGGTAAATTGTGATGGAATTGCCACTTCTGTGCACAAAAGAAAACCACTGTAGCGATGGTGGTTGTGCAAATACAGAGTACCAATGAATTAAACACTTCAAAATGGTTAATCCTGAATTTCTTCTAAATTAAACATAGCCACTGAAATAGTTGACAAAAAGGATCACTTAAAAATATGAATACAGTGATCATACCAGAAACACTAATTAGTCAGGAAGCTACTATAATATTTGTTCTAGTTCAGATCTTGAGTGTATGTGCTAAGGCTTGGTTCTATCCTGTGGCTGGATGTGATAGAAACTTTAGAAGAGGGGGCCTAGTGGGAAGAAGTTAGGGTCACTGGAGGGCTGGGGAGAGGCATATCCTTGAATAAGATTTTGGAATCCCAGCTCCCTCCTCCCTATTTCAAAATGTCTAACCTCTGGGGTTGATTGAACCCCTCCCCCTGCATAACTAATGTAAGTAAATACAACAACAAAATGTCTGACCCACCCCCATTTGAAGAGCTGCATAATAAACAGATTGTTCTACCCAGTCTTATTAGGCACACAGCCCAGGAAATACCTGACATCACCTCTACACATATGGCTCAATAAAACTTTAAGTAGAAGACATTTTCTGCTGAATGGCTTCAGAAAGTCATCAGGAAAACATGGAAGGGAATCCATGGTAACAGAAGGAGCTTGGGTAGAATTTCAGTTCTCATTTTTAAGTTTTCCTATGTAAATCAGCTTTAACACAGGAAATGATACGAGCTGAAGTTGCCCAATGGAATTTCACAAAAACTAAAAAATAGGCCCTCATTGAGCCACCCTATTTCTTCCACACAACATCCAAAGCCTGAAAATGGAAACATGCTTACCAGCCAGTGCTACAGTGAGAACCACAGCAACAAGGCCATGAGAAATAACATCTTAACAGGAAAACTTGCTAAGCCAAAGACTACTAAAGGAGCTCCTCAAGCCAACAGCCTTTCCTCCAAGCGTCAGTTGGCAGAGAATCCCTGCAATTGTCCACTGATTGCACTACTGCATACTGGCCGCATGGTGGCACCAGCATATCACACGCACACGCGCACACACACGTGCGCACTTGTGTTTTTCCTGAGATCTGATGAGACAGTGCTGTGTCTCCCACAGTGATTTGTACAAATACTGTGTAATGAAAGCATACACCAACCAAAGAATATTAGACAAGCCATATTTCCATGTTTTACAAATAGCATCCAGCAGTTTTCATTCTGTTTTTCTGAGTGCCCTTTGAAAAAACACTCATAAGGACTATAAGCCCCCAGCCTCCAGCTCTTCTTTTCTCTCAAGCTTCTGGTCACTTTTCTATCAGTAATTCTCGGATACACTTCCTATGGAATTCAAGTCCTATATCTCAACTCTGCTTACCTGACACATGGAGGGCCATGGGTTCAGTCCCTGGTATTGGTGTAAGCATTCTAATCAAGTTGTTCCTTTTAGATCTAACAATTTCATATCTAGTAACTTATTACAATAATAAAACTACAAGGGATTTACTATAAGGAAAATATACATGCTACTGCTTATAAAAGCTAAATGCTGAAACAACCTAAGTAGCTGTCTATTAACTCATTAAACACATTACATTCATATTCTACATTCCTTAAATTGTATTGAAGATAAATATGTTGGGCATGAAAAAGTGTACACAGTATTACATTAAGAGAAAAGACAGAACAGGGTATAATACTGTGGTGTGGGTCCCATCTCATGAGCAGGAAGATAGGTTTTTCTAGACTGTGGAATTATTAGTGCATTTAGTTTCTTTTTTTTTCTTTTTGCTTATCTTTTCATTTTTTTTCCAGCGAGCCTGTAGTGCTTTTTAAATAATATTAGTATTTAATAAGCATATTCATTTTTAGATGTATTTGTCTCATCAGGGAACTCAAATGAATTAAGTGTGATTTCAATTCTAGACTAGCACACCATTAAGGGAAAAACAGGAATATGAATTCAAGAGAAAAAAAAAGATCTAAACAGCACATCACACACTGGTGCTCATAAACTCTCTTCCTGTCAGCATATACCTGGACAAACCCAAACGGGAAGAAACGTTCAGTCTGACCCTGAGAGCCATCATGGAAGGTTTGGCGCCAGTCTTCAATGAGCGCAGGGAACGTGCAATTATACTTGTCCCTGTAATAGTCCATATTGGATTCTCCTAAAAATAGTCAAAATTGGAAAAAGAGATTGGAGTAGATTTCAAAAATAGCATACATTCCTCTCCTCCCTTCCCATTCATGCCCTGAAGTAGGGTCTTCCCACAGTCTCTCAGGACTAGCCTTGTGACTTGCCAATGAGGTGACACCACACATGACATAGGCTTAAAAAGTACTTCAGTACTGAGTTTGGCTCTCTCTTGATTCTCTTGCAACCTGAGACTACTATGTGGATCATAAAGATGCCTGAACCAGCTTGCTGAAGGGAGAAAAGCCATTTGAGAACTATGGGACAGCAGATAGCCCCCAATCAATGGATGTGAAGGAGAGACCATCTTAGATTCTCAGGCCATCAGAAAACCTAACAGGTATATGTATTATTGATTAATATTATATAGAATATTACATTATTATATTAATTATATTATATATTGTATTAATATATTAATCAATAATATATTTATATGTAATATTTATATATGTAAAGTTCCCAGCAGAAATTAACTGAATAGTCAAGACAAATGAAAAGTCTTAATCCAGAAAATCATGAGCTGAATAAATTTTTTTAAATACTGTTTTTTAAGGCATTAATTTGTCAGATGGATTGGTCTATTGTAAAAACTAACTGATACAATGGAGATACTGGCAGATCACATACTCACCCTGATACCATATCACCCCTTTCAGAGTCATTGTGTGTAGTGGATGGATCATGGCATTCCAGAGGACTGAGTGATTTCTGGGACCAGTTACAGATTCTGGAAAGCCCCTGAAATCAAGAAGATACACAAATGTCACCAGAAAGTTAGTGATTGATCACTTTTTCCACTTTTACTAGGCATCAATTTACTTTGACTCAGGACAAGCATCCGATGAAAGGGGCACAGAAGTAAACTGCTCAACTCTATTTCACTTGTGAATAGTCTCTGAATTTTACCTGTTTTCTTCCCAAGATACCAGTCAGCTTTGTGTAGGTCCAGAGTGAGGCATGAATGGACAAGGTCATTAAAGCCAAAAGGGAGGGGTGATTTATTGTGAATCCTCCAGACAGGAAATAGATTCAGCTACTACTTAACAGATGAACACTAGATGGAGTTACTTTCTTGCCTTTACAAGCAATACCATGAATATCTTCCACATAGCTAAAATGATGGCATACTCGCTTAATTCTTGCCCTAAAATAAATTCTCAGTAATGCATTGCTGAGTCAAAAAAAAAACACAAAGAAAATTTGGTACATGTTCCAAAATGTCTCGGTAGAATTCATATATGGACTTATCCTTACAGTGGCAGTATATGACTATTTCAACTCTCCCCCACCCAGTCCTTGTATTCTCTCTCTCCCCTGCAGAGGTCTGGGGCACCTGCCCTTAACCCCCAGGTGCTGAGTGTAGGTACTCTTTTCTACTGTCCTGCGGTTTATTCTTTTTGTCCAAAGTTAATGTATCTAGTCCCTCACAGACAAGGACTCACCTAAAACTACTAAGAGCAAAGTCCTTCCTTTTCCCTGAGTTCTTCCCAGAGTCAATGAGACAATGTTAAGGAAAATGGGACATGACTGCTTATGTCTACTGTGACAGCAGTACTGGGATTGTTATTAACTAGTTCTTTCTCTCTACATATACTCTTCCCGATTCAACTTTGCTTAAGTGAGCTTTCATATTCAGTATACTAATTAGCATACTGATGTATACTAATTCAGTATACATTTTTCCATCTTTTATCAACATATATTAGTTGTACAAGGGATTATCATTCAACAGATCTTTTTGTAAGTACAAATGCATCTTGATCTATGTCACCCCCTCTCTTTTTTATTCTTGTCATTTGTTTTTAAGGACCAGATTCCCCCTGAGAGAGAACATGCTATATTTGACTATCACGGTGGAACTTACTTCACTTAGCATGATCTCTGATTCTTCCTATAAAGGAAATTATTGAATTTCATTCTTTTTTATTGCTGAACAATACTCCATATGTGTGTGACATATACATATATACATATATATATATATATGTATCACATTTTCTTTATGAATAACTAGGCTGTTTCTATATTTTGGTTACAGTGGATGAATACTGCTGCTATAAACATGGTTGTACAGGTATCTTTTCTGTACACTGACTTATATTCATTCAGATATACACCCAGGACTGATCTAGCTAGATCACATGGTAGTTCTAGCTTTAGTTTTTCAAGGAATGTCCATACTTATTTCCATAGCAGCTACACTAATTTACATCCTTGCCAACAGTGTATTAGGATCCCCTTTTCCCCATATCCTCTCCAGTATTTGTGGTGGTTTGTTTTCTTGATGATTTTGATTGTGACTAGGATAAGATAGAATCTCATCCATATTTTTATTTGAACAAGCATGTTGAACATGTTTCTTCCTGTATTTCTTAGACATTTGTACCTCTTTTGAAAACTTTTCAATTCATTTGCCTATTTTTACTTGAATTATTTACTATTTTGGTTTTTGTTTTTGATGTTCTTTATATAGTCTAGGTATCAATCCTTTATCTGACAAATAACTGTCCAAAAAGCCCATTCTGTAACCCATTTCTTTAAATTCTGGAAATGGTTTCCATTGCTGTGAAGAGCTTTTTTTATTTGAGAGATAGATAGATAGATAGATAGATAGATAGATAGATAGATAGATTTGGTAGTACTAGAGTTTCAACTTGAGGCCTCCTGCTTCCTAAGCAGATACTCTGTTGCTGAACCAAGCCTCCAGCCCTTATTTTTACATTGTTTCCCCCTCCCGCCCCCCCAAAAAATCTGGATGGCCTCAAACTGCAATCTTCCCAATCTTAGCCTCTCAAATAGCTAGGATTATCAAATACAATCCATCAGCACCTAGCCTAATATTTTTGTATATATGTTTATATATTTGTTCTTCCTGTAAAAATACTTTTTCCTCAAAGCACAAAGTTCAGAACTGAGACTATGACACATAGAAGTACTGTCCATAAGTCAGTCACTAAAACTCTCTGAGACTTAGTCTCTACTCAAGAGATGTTAGTAGTTGTATACTTTAAGGAGTTGTTGTGAGTACTAGAAGAATTAATATCCATAAAGGGCTTAGAAAAGTGTCTGGCATACAGAAGGCTTTCAGTAAGCATTGCTATTACTAAAGAAAAGGATCATAATTCCTTTTTGATATTTTCTTAGGTGACTACAGTGCTGATTTTCTCAGGTGACTGCTGTACATGAATACATGGGTGGAATTTTCCACTCGTCCACCCATTCAATACATATTTTGACACTCAAGATCTACTTAACTCCCCAAGAGAGTTATCTTCTCATATGAACTTCCTTGATAGGCTTTCTCCCAGAACACTTACCTTGTCAAATAGACTCCACAGGTTCTCAGTGACCTTGGAGATGACCAGGCTTCAATGGGAGTCCCACCCCAGCTAGAAGAGATGAGCCCAATTGGATACTTCAGGGTTTCATACAGGTAACGCCCAAAGAGCCAGCACAATGCTGACATATATGTGAAATTGCCATGGCCTAAATTTCCTGTCCAGAGAAACAAAACAGTTAAGAAAAAAAAAGTAGATAACATATAAACTACAGCTACTAGATAGGTGTAGGTGAGAGGAGTGATTCTGGGTCTTTTGTTCCTTTCTGATGCTTTGAAAAGGAGGATAAGAGGCAATGACAAGACCCAGCACCAACACTAATTATTTCCTTCAAACCTTCCCTGAGGAGTATGTTTTCAAAGGGGAAACTGATAGACTTAGTGACAATTTCCTTTTGTCTCTCTTCTATTTTTTTTCCCAGTTGTTCAAAATGCTTGTTCCCATAATGCCTGGCACAGAGGCAAATGGTAATTATTTTGCTCTCAATTTGGGTATAAACAATTCAGTTACATAACCTGGAAGACACTTGAGGCAGGGAGCAGGATTCCAGGGCCCCTCAGGTTCTTCGAATCTAGGACTACTAGTCTTCCTGAATAGATAAGTGGCACAAAAGTCATTTGGTTCTTATTCTACCCATTTCTCTCCTTTCCTCTTAGCCAGCCCCTCGCTCCCACTGTGGTTTGTGGGGGGAAAAAAAGCAAGCAGGAAGTAGGAAGAGAAGAAATGTGTTTTGTTGTTGTTGTTTTGCTGGGAGATTTTATACTCAATTTTATGGCTGCAGTAAAGAAATCATAGACACATAAGAGATGAGAAGTCTGGCAAAACGGGAAGCAAAAGAAAACAAACCAGGTTTTAAACTTTCAGCAGTCTTAACTCGTTTGTCTGCATTGCTTAGAAACTAATACAGGCCAGAGTGAGTGATTTCCATGTGAGAGGCCAGTAGATGTAGACAGTGCACATACACACAGCTGATAGGACCAATCCAACACAATAGTCGGTAAAGACTTACTGTGCAGAAGTCACTGCCTGACTTGGCACTATGAAAGATCAAACTCAACACTGTACAATCCAAACCCTCCAAGAGCTGGCAATGTAATCCTGTAAGTTCAAATCAATCACAAATAAATTAAAATTGATAGCTGGGATACCATAAGTTAAAAAAAGATACAGAGGGCTGGGAATGTGGCTCAGTGGTAGAGCGCTTGCCTCACATGCCTGAGGCCCTGGGTTCGATTCCTCAGCACCACATAAGCAAAAAGAGAAAAGCCGGAAGTGGTGCTGTGGCTCAAGTGGTAGAGTGCTAGCCTTGAGCTGAAGAGCTGAGGGACAGCACCCAGGCCCAGAGTTCAGGACTCACGACTGGACCCAAAAAAAAAAAAGATATAGAAAACTGATTCACACCTTAAGTCTTATGGTTTACAGAATAAGACAAGTATTTAGCCAAATAAAATTACTAGCCTGGTTGGGCACTGATGGCTCACTCCTATAATCCTAGCTACTCAAGAAACTGAGATCTGAAGATCATGGATCGAAGCCAGCCCAGACAGGAAAATCTGTGAGACTCCAATTAACCACCAAAAAGACAGATAGCGCTGTGAATCAAGCAATATGGCCCTAGCCTTGAGCAAAAAAGCTCAAGGACAAGCTCCCAGACCCTGAATTTAAGCCCCAGGACAAGCACACACACAACAAAATTGTAATAATAATAATAATAATAATTGCCTAACAAACATGAAACCCTGAGTTTAAACCTCAATACTGATAAATAATTAAGTGCACCAAAATGTGTAAGCAAGTTTTAATGAAACTTATTTAAATTTTCAACTTCTAGACTATTTCTTTCACTGATTAGTATTATGTCTCATTTTTCCATACTGGGGATCAACCCCAGGGCCTTGTGTTAGGCAAGTTCTGTACTGCTGCGCAATGTCCCCAGCTCCAACTCCTGATAGTACTTAGTTTTAATACCAAAGAAAAAAATACCAAGTGAAAAGAAGATCATAAAAAGCCTAATATAGGGTGAGTTTCTTCCCTCCATGCATAGCTCCATCCCTAAACTTCCTGTAATGGTCTTCCCAGGGCTTCCCTCACCCACAACGCTGCTAGTCACACAAAGGCATGAACTTCATCTTCTTCATAGTATCCCTAATGTCTAGGACATAAGTAAGAGTCAATTAATGTGTATTGGCTTGTGTTATGTGGCTATGGTATTTGGTTCAACGTGGATTCTGCCAAGAAGGCAAAAGAGAAAGGTAACAAGAAAGGGAGAAAAGAGATGAGGAGGTGTAAAGGGAAGACAGGCGCTCTCAGTAAGCAGAGCTGGCATTCAAGGCAAAAGAAAAATTATGTAAAAAAAAGAGACCTTAAATAGGAAACTTTCTGAAAGTATTTGGCTGGAACAGAGATTACAAAAGGAAGCTAATGGAAGGTAAAACTGGAGGGGAAGATTAAAGCTACACAGAGGTAAGAAAATGGAAAGCCATTTGAAAATGTGAATGTGCAGTAGGCAGGACAGACCACCACCACCACTCCACCCCCCCCAATAGATCCAGATGTGCTCACCCTAATCCCTGTAACCTGTAACTGTTACCTAGAATATCTGAATGCCTTTGGTGGTATGATTAGGGCTAATCAGCCTGCAGTAGAAGAGGTGTGTCCTCGACCATCCAGGTGGCTCCAATCTAATTATAGGAGTCCTTAAAACCAGAGATGTTCTTTTGCTGGTACAGAGGGACAGGACAAGAGACAATAGGCAGGAGGGGCTGGGGACATGACTCTTATGGTAGAGCACCTGCCTAGTATGTGTGAGGCCCTGTGTTCAATCTGCAGTGCCGCAGACAAGAAAAAGGGGCAGGAGAGATTCTAATGTGGGAGGGACAACTATATTCTTCCCTCAAGATCTACACGGCCTCTTTCAGGAGGCATGACGGGGATGTCACCTTGCTCCTTGGGACGCCTCTGGCCATTCTAAATTGAAAACACTACTCCAGCTCAGGCCACCCTCCCCACTGCCTCAATTCTCTGATGAGTATGTTTACTTTTGTCTCATTAGCACATCACTATTTACCCTACCTTGTGATATCCAAATTTTATTCAGTCTTCGAATTAAGAGACTAACAGGGAATTCAGATAGCAAGGTGTTGTATATTATCCAATTCTGAATGATTCCTGAGTTCTGAATAACATACACTGTAAGTTCTTGGAACAAAAGATTTATCCAAAAATTCACCTGAATCCATTTGGTTCTGGAGCTCTTATAGTGTCAGAATAGACAGAATCAGTACATATGTCATTCATATATTAGCCATTTCCAGAATTCTCCCACTCTAGTCTGGAAGCACCATGAAAAGTCAGGTGTTTTTATTCATTGCTCTGTCCCAACTGCTCAGAATAGCACCTGTCAGATAGTGGCTACCTATCTAAGATTAGGTCAGCCAGATAAAGTGTGGACAGATAAAAAAGGACTGGGTCAAGATAGAATACAGGAGCCACATCTAAAGGAAGGAATTGAAGAAACAAAGATGACAGAGGAGAACTAGGAAAAGGACGTATTCAAGTATTCAGAACATACTGTTTCTAAAAGGGATGGCTGGCAGTCTTGAAGGCAGCAGCAGTCTACATAGTTTAAAAAGAGAAGAGTTGTAACCTTGAGGTGGACAAGTTGTTGAGGCAGAAGCCAGATAAAGGATTAAAACATGAATCCTTGGCAAGGCAGTGAAAAGAATGAAAACAAAAAAATGCTTTAGAAAGATGAAACAAAGCAAAGGAGACACAAGGAGCTTTGAGAGGATGGTGTTTTGTTATATTAGCTTTGATTCATTAGGATAAGAGAAAGGCTAAAGGATGGGGACAGACTGTCTTGTCTTAGTCTCTGTGTCCTTGGGGGGCTAGCATGGAGCCTGACACAGAGGATGCATGAAATAAAGATTCCATGCTGAAGCAACAGTGTGGGAAATAACAGAGCTTAAAGAATAAGAGAAGCCTCTGGAGAAAGTAAGCACTGACATCCAAAGTAGCCTTGAAAGGACACCAGTCAGTTGTCTTCAGACAAAAACAAAGGAAGAGAATACAAGCTGGGCACCAGTGGCTCGTGCCTATAATCCTAGCTACTCAGGAGGCTGAGAGCTAATGATCAAGGTTCAAAACTAGCCTGGGCAGGAACATCCATGAGACTTTCATCTCCAATTAATCAGCAAAAAGCCAGAAGTGGAGCTGTGCCTCAAGTGGTAGAGTGCCAGCCTTTATGCAAAAAAGCTAAAAGACAGCCTTAGGCTATGAGCTCAAGTCCTACCCACATCCCCCCCCCCCACACACACACCCAGGGGAAGGGGAGGGGAGGGGAGGGGAAGGGAAGGGAAGGGAAGGGAATGGAAGGGGAGGGGAGGGGAGGGAAGGGAAAAGATCAAGAAAACATACAGAGAATTAAGGCAATGGAGAAAGACTGGCCCAGATCATGCTGGGCAGCCTCCATATTTTCACTGAAGTGGAAGGAAGATCCATCTCCTCATCTCAAAGGGAAAGTCTGACAATGTCTTGGAAAGAAACAAGTGAAGCAATGACCATCAGGAATGGGATGGAGAGTTGATAAGAACAAAAGGATAATGTAGTAATAATCAGTACACAAGTAAGAACCAAACTGAGGCTTACAGCTTCCAATTATAAGGTGCTAACCCATTACCTAGGAGATGGCTGATGTTGAAGCTCTCACGCACCTGAGGTGGGCTTAGACCACTCCAAGTCAACCTCATCAAGGTCCTCCAGCTCCTTCTCTGACTGAACGAGAGAGATGGAGAGGAGGCGGACAGATTGATAGGCCTCAGTGTTGGACATCTCCTCTGTAGCATTAAAGATCTAGAAGAGAAATTGAAATGTCATTTCATCTAGAGGCTACCACCCCTAAGTAAACACTTCCTGCTGGCTAAGCTCTTGCTGAGATTTCAATATACAGAGATGAAAGAATAACTGGTAACAGGCTGGACTGAATCACATGACCCACTCTGACCAACACAAACCATGATGTATAATGTTCCCAAAGAGGATTCAAATACAGTGAAACCTGTAATCAAGAGTAGGTCTGCATTAAACAAGAGGAGCTGTGCAGTGCTGAGGCAAAATACTGACTCTCAATTAAATCACTATGATATCCTGAACCTTAAGGACTTCTCTGAAAAAATATCTGATAACATAAAGCCATGGAATTAACTTCCCATCCAAAAAAAAAAAGTGCTTAAAGAGCTTCTGTGGAGCCCAATAGGTCACAAGGTGGTAGATTATGTGATCCATACCAACAAGAGAATTGCATTGAAGAAGCACACCTGAGCAATGATGGCTGAAGTACTACAATCAGGCTCATGAGGCTTATATTCTCAACTCTATCTTGGCGACTGACTGACTGACTGAAGGTGGTGTTCAGAGTAAAGGCTCTGCATAGTTTGAAGGAATTAAACAATGACTGGGGTCCTTCCAAAGATACATCACATCTTCCTAAATCACTTTTATGAACCCTGGTCAGCTGCCAAGAATATGACAGAGGTGGCTTAGGGTTTGGTGATTTGGGTTTGGATGAGAATGTGTGTGACTGTTTCGTTTATTCCTTAGTCTTATTAAACCTTATTCTTCTATGAGCTTAGGCACACCTTATTTCCTTTTGTTCCAATATTTAAATGACACCTTTACTTAAAATAATAATAGGTAGGCAATATCCTGGCTTGTATATCCTATTTGTATGCATGTTCACTTGAGTCTCTTGGTCCCCTTGGACTAGTTCAGCTTCTCCCCAAACAAAGGGCAAAGTGGAGCATCAGGAAGCTCAGTTACCATTTGCCTCAGGGAACAAGTGCTCCAGCTGAGTCCGGTGGCACAGCAAGAGACACAGGAAGACAGGATACTTTCCACTGGCTGCTAGCCACAGAGTGTGCAGCTGCCTCTTCTTCCCTCCCTCCCACCTACCACAGAGAATACAGCTGGCCTTCCAGCCTACGATGAAGCGAAAGGATAGAGCAGCCAGGGTGCCCCCACAGAACATCACATTGAAATATGCTGCCCCATGAATTGTTTTTTGACTTGCTACATTGCCCACTACAGCCAAGGAGCTGGTCAGATGCAAATAAAACGGCTTTTTTGGTCACAATAGGAGCTAGAGCCTAAAGTGCCTCCTGGACAGCAGTGGCTCCAACCTGTCAAGGTTACTGATCTTGCCACATTCAGCACAGAGATTACAAACAGTCTCAGGGAAAATTCCATAGGAAATCCACATCCTCCTTCAGGATCTTGCCTGACAACTTTAAAGTAAAATAAACACTAAAGAGTAAGAACAGGCTAAAACCACTCACAGTATATTCTGGCAGGGAAATAATTTTTCAGCAGTAAGTACCTGTAAAAAGTCACCTCCCTTGAAATTCAGCTCTGCGTTAAACGCGAAGCATCATGTGTTGCTTCCATGGAAACAGTGGATGGAGCTGCTTTCATTCTCTCCACCCACACTAGCTTCCGCACTGCCTGGGAACGCAAGCACCTCATGGCGCGGAGATGCCAGCTTGGGGAGGCAGTATGGGAGAATATGCTCCTTGTCTTTTTAGACCCCTTGCTAATGCTGCAGAGTATTGCCAGGCCAACAGAGTCTGGGTGGCTGGCATTCTCCTGTATTATTACCAGCACATGAACAGGATTCAAAATATTGGCTGGAAATTTTCCATTCTCAAACTCACATTTGTATATTATTTCAAGCCGGTTCTTGAAAGCCACAGAAAGTGTTAACATAAATGGGGGTGGGGAAAACCCATGCTGTACCTGATAGCAATTACTTCTGAAATTGGTATCCTTTCCCAGTATCACTAGGCCTTTTCGATGGAAGCATTTCCTCGGGGATATTGGCGGCAAACTTAGGAATAAAGAGATTTCAGGAAGATTTTCATTTAAATGACACTTGGTTTCCCTGCTGATGAAAGGGGAAGCCTTACTCCATCTGCTGAGATCAGATTTCATCTCATCAAACACCTCGGTGTAATTATTTTCCTACCAAGTATTTAAATGAGGATGTAAATGAATACCAAGGTATTTGAAGTCATTAATGCTGCTGAGGCTGAGGGAGAACACCGCTGTCTCTCTAGGGACTAGACCACTCGCCATCAAAGCAGCTGCTCACTGGTGTTCATTTTGTAACCTTTATACCACATTCTTGAATTAATGAAGACACGTCAAGAATCTATTTCCTCAGAGAACCTTGGCATGAGGTCTCCGTGGGGGAGCAAGTGTGTGTGTGTGTGTGTGTGTGTGTGTGTGTGTGTGTGTGTGTGTGTGTTTGCACCTATGTAGACACATGCATGCATATGGTAAAGGACACAGGAGAAGCTTAATTATTGGTGTAAGAGAATTTGGAGATTCTGTAAGTTATTTTACCTTCACCATCATATTATATAGTAGTCCTAAAATTAATGTCGTAACTGTAAATAAGCTAGTCACTGTCACTGCAATGAATCTTTCATTGGGGCATAGTGCCAACCTTTCCCTCCGGATTTTAATTTCTCTTGTTGTAAAGTAAGAATACAGAGAATGCCAAGCTACAGAAAAATGAATTTGCTGTCTGATATTGCCATCTTTCACTGAGCTTAACTAACTAGAAATATTCAAGTCTTTTTGTTGGTTGGTCAGTGATATTGGGCCTCACACTTGTTGGACCACTTGCTCTACCACTGAGTCATGCTTCCAGCCCAGTTTTACACTGGCTAATTTTAGGATTGGGTCTCATTTTCCACTCAGTATGCAAAGTCCATCTGCTTTAGGCTTCTCAAAGTTGGCGGGATAAAAGTAAAAGCCATGAAAAGGGAGTATCACTAACTTTGCTACCCAAGCTGGTCTAGGACTGTGATCCTCCTAATTTCATCTTCCCATGTAGCTTAGAAATGACATGCCTGTGCCACTGTACCCAGCTATGAGTTGAAAAGGGGATCTCATAAGCTTTTCTGCCCAGACTAGCAAGGAATCACAATCTTTGTGATCTCAGCCTTGTAAGTAACTAGAATTACAGGCGTGAGCCACCAGCTCCAAATATCCAAGTCTTAAGGCCTACCCTGACTTAGGAGCTGACAGATGAACATTTAGACTTTCCTCCATTTATAAACATCTCACTCAGTGTTATAAATAACATTCCATTTTAAAATTCCACTTTACCCTAACAACAAGATGGGCATACAATCTGCCATTTCTTCTTTGAATGTGAAGAGCAGTAGGTTATAGTGAGAATCTTAACTTTCTCAAGAAGACACGTGGAGGAAGGGAAGGAAAAAGAGACCCTGTGTGTGTGTGTGTGTGTGTGTGTGTGTGTGTGTGTGTGTGTGTGTGTGTTTGGAGTCTGTCGTAAGAAAGGAGCAAAAGGAATAAAGGGGGAGTAATGTAATATATTATTCTGATCAAAATGTAAGAGATTACAAAACTTGGCTTTTAGCATTACCAACATCTAAAATGCTGTCTTGCCACTAAAATGCATAGTTGTACAAAAATTAACACATGTATGTTTCAAATGGAATCTTTTATTTCTATTCCCTTAGGTCTCAGAGCTCACAGCTTCAGCTTGATATAGAAGATGCTTCAGAGTAAAATCTAGGCAGAAAGAACGTGTTTACTCTCAACAATCAAGATCTGATTTCATTTGACAGAAAATGGGATGGGATCCTTTGGCATAGACTGCTACTGAGAAAATGTCTGTATAGATATAAACAGATCTGGTCCATGCCTTTCTGAACAAACACAGAACAGCAATTAAAGCATTACGGACAGTAGTGTTTTACTTAAGGAGTTAAAAGCAATTCTACTTCTATATAAATCCATGCTTTCTTCAAATTGGTATCTGTTCACTTATGCTTAAAAGAGTCCAGCCAAAGTTCAGCTTTTAAGTATTTTAAATCAAAAAGCTTTCATATATTTAAGTAAGGCAGGAAGTCAGGTAAATAAAATATCAGAATTTAGATTTTTTCTTTCTTTCTTTCTTTCTTTTTTTTTTTTTTTTTGGTCATGGGGCTTGAACTCTGGGCTTGGGTGCTGTCTCTGAGCTCTTCAGCTCAGGGCTAGCACATTACCACTTCAGCCACAATGCCACTTCCAGTTTTCTGGTCGTTAATTGGGAGATAAGAGTCTCACCGAGAAATTCCTGCCCAGGCTGGCTTTGAACCACGATCCTCAGATCTCAGCATCCTGAGTAGCTAGGCACTAGCACCCAGCAAGCATTTAATTTTTAATTAGAAAACTAATGATAAAATGAAATAGATATATCCAGTGTGGACTGCTCTTAGTAGCATTACTTAATAATAGCTTTGTTTTGTTTTGTTTTAAGGAGAAGAAACTACAGAGAAGGAACAGAATCAAACCAAGAAACCTTAAAGGATGTAAAAGTATTCCATTTTCTAATTTTTTTCAGAAAGAAAACTGAATTGAACTTATACTCTAGCTATAGAGACTTTTTTTACCTCAAATGTAAAAGTTTCTAAGATAGAGAAATGGCTAATAAAGATAAAAAATATAAAATTAACTATAGAAGAAACTCCATTTTAGAAAAGGACTAAGGAAAACAGTAACTTCTCCAAGTTTTAGACTCTTAAAGGAAATAAAATCAAAGTATATACACATATTAGTGCTAACCAATAATTGACTAGTCAATAACTTACCTCTTAAGGTTGTTATATTAAATTAGTTAATACATGAAAATACGTTCCTGGCCCATGGTAAATACTGAAAGAATAGAAACAGACTTCCTTCTTGTTGTTACCTTCTCTTCTTTTTCTTCATTATTTTCAATATTATTTACTGTTGCTGAAAAATCTGCAAATTACCTGTAAAACGGTCATCTGCATGTTACTCTGCCCACTGCAAAGCCAGACATCTCCAAATAAGATATCATGAATTTTTAGGGTGAATCTCATTATCCCCAAAGTCTGATGGGCCACCAGTTCATAAGGTCCACCTGGCTTCATAGGATCCAGTATAACCATCCAGACATGAGAGGGTGCTGAAATAACAACAATAATTCCAAGGAATTAATCAGTCACTTAAAATGAAGTTAAAGCCCAGCCATACTCATTTGTGATTATTCCCAGCTTGTGATAAGTTGCACTCAGAGCTGTAAAGATTGGCCACATTTCAGATAAGGAGATGGAGCTAACAAGAGAAGCAGCATTTTTATCCTTAATCTGTAGCAATCCCTCTTTATTTTTAACTGAATATTGATGAGAAAAATAAGTTCCATAACTGTAATCCTAAATTGGGATAGACAAAAATAAGCACACATTAAAATTCATGAAAGTTGAGTAAAAAACGTAAAATAGAAATTTTCATTATACTATCCAACTGTCAATAGTAACAATCTAATCCCCCTGTTTTACATAGCTCCCCAGACTAACTTGTAATTATCCAATCAACGTGAGCCAAGGTTAGAAAAATTCATTTATAATCTGAATATTCTCCTTACTAGGCAAGATCACCTTGGTCATAAAACATCCTCCCATGTTTCTTACAAAGATTAATACAATAGATATGGGAAATTATAAATAATCAGTACATGCAAATAATGGTCTTAATGTTTACCAATGGTTCTGTATTCTCCTACCAACAAACAAATTCAATGTAGTAAGAGAGCCAAGCACCAATTGATCATGTCTGTAATCCTAGCAACTCAGGAGGCAGAGACCTGAGTATCTCAATTCAAAGCCAGCCTGGGTAAGAAATTCCATGAGGCTCTTATCTCCAACAAAAACTACTAAAAAAAAGCCAGAAGTAGAGCTGTGGCTCAAGTGGTAAAGATATAGCCTTGTGCAAAAAGAAGCTCATGACAGCAAGTACCCAGATCCTGAGTTCAAGCTCTAGGACTGGCACAAAAATAAAAACAAAACAAAATAAAACAAAAACTGTAAGACATCCTTCCTCTCAGCTTCAGTGTCATACTCAAAGTCGTAAGGAAAATCCTTCCAAAATGGCAAAATTAAGCTTCATTATTTATGGTCAAATGACTTAAAAGTACAGAAATATGAGTGGAAAAATAGAATAAGATAAATGTTAAGGAAAAATTTCTTTCCAAGAATTTGAACTGATTTATAATCCATTCCCATCAGCTAAGTATAAATTCAAAAGAAAGAATAATATGAACTGAAAAGTTATTATATCCAATTATAATCATTATAAAAATACCATGCAAGTGCCTACTATGTGTTAGACACTGTGTGTCAAGTTCTTTTCTAATCAGTAAGGACTATGAATAAGCATGAGATGCCCAGATGCACTTTAAGAGATAAGTAAAAGTTTTAACCACAAGGGATTACTTAAGAGTCCTGGAGAAAATGTTCCAAAACTCCAAAGCATGTTTATTCTACTGAAAAGTGTGACCCACTGAACTTGCTACTCTGCCCCTGGAGTTCGGTTAAGCCAGGACCAAGTATTCACTACTGTATTTCTATCACCAATAGCCAGACATCAACATATTAAATGCACAATTCACCTAAATCAGAAAAATCACTGTTTTGGAAACAGTGGGCAGCTAGTACAGATTGTGTCGCACAGGTGTGATGTGCTCCGTATGGCTCACACTTCTGAGCAGGCAGACGCTCCAATCTGTCCTAATACAGTCTTGCCAAGGTCTTTCCAGGCTTCCTTCACTGAAGCTCTGTCCTTCTGGCACCAGAATTACTCATTTATGCTGATGAGGTCAATCCTCAGAAAACCTGGCTTCATCCAGGACACAGAGTTGGTAAAGAAAACTGCCATCACTAGAACTTCTGAAAAGGTTTCTCCCAGTAATAATAACAATAATAATAACAACAGAGAGAAAGAAAGAGTAAAGAAGGATGGCTAAACATAGCACCTAATTTTGCTATAGCCAGAGGATGAGCTCTCAGTAGGCCTGGAATCTGAAGAGAATTGGACCTCAAGGCCTGAGTGAGACTCCCTTCCAGAGAAACTTGCTTTCAACTTTCTTAAAGACCCTGGAGAACTTTCTTCTTTGCTAGCTAGTCCTCAAGTTCTTTAGGTTTCTAGCTTTTCTCCTATCCCACTTAAAGGGAAAATGAATTTTAGGAGACTTTTACTTTCAAGGCAGGAGAAACCTGATGCACTATGTAGTGGTAACTAATGGTCAAAAAGTGATAGGTTTGCTCCTGTGTGCGTACTGCATATACCAAGGAGAATGTTTCTTAGAAACATTCATGAAATGTTTCTTAGACCAGAGACAAAACTGAGATTCTAAAGGCAATGTTCACAAGGAAGATTGTAGTTCCAGGCCAACCCAGGCAAAAAGTCTGCAAAATTCTATCTCCACATAAGAAAGATGGGCATGGTAGTATGATCTAAGCATGTACCCAGGAAGGAAGCAAGACCCAGTCTCAAAAGTAACCACCGCAAGCCAGACACCAGTGGCTCCTGTCTGTAATCCTAGCTACTTAGGAGGCTGAGCTCTAAGGATGGTGATTCAAAGCCAGCCTGGGCAGGAAAGGCCGTGAAACTCTTATCTCCAATAAACCACCAGAAAACCAGAAGTGGCGCTGTGGCTCTAGTGGTAGAGTGCTAACCTTGAGCTGAAGAGCTAAGGGACAGCGCTCAGGCCCAGAGTTCAAGTCTCATGACTGGAAAAAAAAAAGTAACCACAACAAAAAAGGGGCTGGAGGGCTGGGAAGGTGGCTCAGTGGTAGAGCGCTTGCCTTGCATGCCTGAGGCCCTGGGTTCAATTCCTCAGCACCACATAAGAAAAAAGAAAAAAGCCAGAAGTGGCACTGTGGCTCAAGTGGTAGAGCGCTAGCCTTGAGCTGAAGAGCTGAGGGACAGCGCCCAGGCCCAGAGTTCAGGCCCCACAACCGGATCAAAAAAAAAGGGGGGGCTGGAGGCATGGCTCAGTGTCCTAACAAGCACAAGGCCTAGTTCAAACTCCAGTAACACCAAAAACAAAGACAAAAAGAAACTGTTGACCCACTGGATTCACTAGGTTGAATCTAAACAATGAACTTGAGTCACCAATCACAAAAAGCTTACCATTATGGACACAAGTTCACCCACTAGGAGGCTTTCTGCTAGTACTATGGCTTTCTAAGTGATAGTTGCTCTGTTTTCTCTTTCTAGACACCAGTCACCTGCTATCTTGTTATTATTCCTGGTCCAGGTTTCTGTAAATTCTCATATTTGTTGCATTCTTTCTTCTACCATCTTACAAGATTAATTTTCTTCCTTCATTTTATACTATTTAGAGGGTTTACCATGTAACAAGCACTCCATCAAGTAAATGACTCAAAGCAAACTCCAGCCCTGGGCTGCAATAATGAGAAAGCCCATGCAAATTTTCTAAGCCTTTATACTTTCACATACAACAGTATACTTGGTGGCCTATCTTGATTTTGATCTTTATATTCCAGCCAAGGGTGTAAATAAGGAGAGAAGTTACTATCTCCATTTTTTCTCATCTCCCCAATTAGCTCCAACCTCAAAATGGAAAGAACAAATAATCAAAGGGATAAAATAAAAACAACTTGTATAGAGATATGGTTAGTCAGAAGGTCCCTTCTTGCCTTTTCTTTCTGCAATTCACATCAGATGTTAATTATTTTGTCAGTTATTGTGCCAAAATCTCAGATGCCAAAAAGAGAAAAAGAAAGTTGTTTGTGACCTTTCCCTTCCCAAGAGCAAAAAACATAATGCTGAAAGAAGTAGCTCTATCCATTTTTCTGCACAGAACTCTGGCAAAAAAATAATAAATCTAAGATAGAAGCCAACCATTCAATATCCCCTGTAGTCTATCAGTCTATTCTCTTTTTTTTCTCTCTATGTACATATATACATATACATGTGTGTATGTGATATTTATCTACAACATAAATGTGTATGTGCACACATATACACAGACATCAACAGTGTCTCTATATAACCCAGGCTGACCTCGAACTCACTATGTAGCCCAGGGTGGCCTGAACTTGAGGCTCAGCCTCAGCCTCTAGAATGCTGAGATTAGAGGCATGTACAGCTACAACCAGCTTGTAGTGTTTTCCTTTAAGAGATATTTTCTTGTCCTCTCTCTCTCTCTCCCTCTCTCTGTGTGTGTGTGTGTGTATATATATATATATATATATATATATATATATATATATAGTGTGTGTGTGTGTGTGTGTGTGTGTGTGTGTGTGTGTGTCCTGGGGCTTGAACTCAGGACCTAGGTGCAGTCTCTGAGCTTTTATGCTCAAAGTTAGCACTCTACCCCTTGGAGGCACAGCTCCACTTCTGGCTTTTTGACAGTTAAGTGGAAGTAAGAGTCTCATGGACTTTCCTGCCTGGACTGGCTTTGAACTGCAGTCCTCAGATCTCAACCTCCTGAATGAGTAGCTAGGATTACTGGCATAAGCCAACAGTGCCCACCCTAAATTTTCTGGCATGTCTATCTCCTTTATTCCAAATAACATTTAACCTATTTTGCTTCATGGTCAGGACAAAGCAAGATGCTTATTGAAGCAGCTTTGCTGACCTCTATAAACTAAAACAACTTTTTTTACTTTTTTTATTTCATTTTATTATTAATTAATTTGTAAGCATCTACTATCATAGAAGTAACATAAGCATTATGTCCTCAGTAATGGTAAAGTAGTTAGTATTATCCTCATTCTTTTTTTTTAATTGTGAAAATACCGTACAGAGGGGTTACAATTACATGGGTAATGTATTGAGTACATTTCTTATCAAGCATTGTTGCCTCCTCCTTTGTTTCCCCTTCCCATCCCTTCTCAACTTCCCCACACACCCGTCCCTGCCACCCTCCCAAGTTGTAAAGTTCATTTTTTGACATAACATCTTGTACATCTCATTGTTGCAATGGGTCCACCTGTATCCCTATTTAAACAATTTGTTTTTTCCCTTCCCCTCCACAAAATATACCAACATCGAATACAGTGAAAACAGGGGTTATACCATGAGGGAGGAACATACAAAGCAACAAACAAATCATCTTATGAATATGTTAGAAACAATCGCATGACAGAAAAAAGC